TCCCCTCCGGCAAAATACAACAGCCGCGGCCGCCCAATCAGAGTGCCACAAAAGTTTGAGTGAGGAACTTGTTCATATAGGTCTATAGACTACTCCACCAGAAAATCTCATGATAATAACCATTGTGTGTGGCTCTACAGCCTCATTTTTGGTGGACCTATTTTGGTGGTTTGGCGCATTACTCGCACGGACACGGTAGTGCAATAAAGTGACGCTAGATCTAGTTTGTTAGCAAAATGTAGTACAAACAGTATCCCACCACATTTTGCATTATTAGAATGCTCTGAAGAAGCTTAGATAGTTGATTTTGAATTATTGCAATACTTTTCTGGTGTTGTAGTTGCTATGAAGCGTAAATCGAGCCGGAACAACGTTCAGCCAACGAGCAGCAAGCCCAGCAGACCTGCAAAATGTCAGCGGAAACCTACTCAGCCATTTGACCAAGGTGTCAATCCTGCTCCTCCTACTCTGCCGTCGACAGTATGGCGTCCCGTACGCTTGCCAGAACCAACTCTGCCGCATAATCAAGGTACGCCAAGCCCGCCAGAGGCGCTGTTTGTGGCAGAGGATGAGGATGTGGTGGAGGAGTCAGCAGCTGACGCTGGGTTGGATGATGACAACGAGGTAGATGAGCAGGTGGAGAACGCGTTAGCTGCTGCCACGGCTGTAGGGGAGGTTACTGCAGGCTCACCTGGGTCAGCTACTGCAGCGTCGCTCGCTCAATCAAGCCAGCCACAGCGTCCAGAGTCAGAACAAATTGACGAGGAGCCGCACCTGCACTGGAACTATTGCGCTTGGTGGACGCTAGGGAAGAATTCAATTCCTCAGGCAGCTGTTGCGAGGCGTAATAAGCCGTTATACACTGTGGATGAGGACAGGGTGTGGCAATGGGCGGATGGTGTTGTAGAGAAGCAGCTGCCACGGGTAGCTATTATTGACAGCTTGACAGCAACGCTCTACTATACTAGTGGCCGCCAAGCTAAATCTGATAGGTGTACTATAGCACTACAGCGGCGGCAAAGTGCAGCTGGATGGACTGTTGTTGCAGGAAACTGGTTCGAATTTGAAGAAGAGCTGGCTGAAATGGATAAAGAGAGCGGCCAAATAATGACCTGTGACTTTGACTTGGTGTTGAGAGAGCAACAGGCGCCTCAGCCAGCAACTCAGCCAGCATCTCAACCAGCTCAAAGTACTGCTCGTTCGCGGCCAGGCATCGTTACTGCAATCATGGAGGAGGGTCTCGCTAGTGTTGTTACTAACGAGCGCTTTGCGTCTGGTCATGCTATTGGTATAAGAGACCATTGGAGGTGTCAGAGTGAGCGCTGTTCGAACAACCCCGGCGTGTGCTGGGTGCGCTTGCTGCCAGGTCGTCAAGTTGAGCGAGCTAGTGATCATTATCCTCTCAACAGCAACATGATTGCAAACTGGGCAAGCGCTATTACACGACAGGAGTGTACTGTTGAAGAGCCATCGCAGGACCTCCAGCTGCAGTTCATTATGTCAAAAGACCGCAGCGCACGAGAGAACAAGCGGCGGAGGAAGTCTTCCCCAGCGTCGTCAAGCTCTAGTCTTGAGAACCTCACAAAAGCAATACTTGTTGGCCATCTCGCTCAGTTGAAACAGCCGCAGCAACAGTGTCAACATCAATCAGAGCCATCACAGCGGCAGAGATGGGTTGACATCAAGGCATCAAGGGTGGAGATGGTTCAACATACTCGCAACTTTTTCAATTACTGGAAGCTTAGTATGCCTCACGTTGGCGAGAAGATCAGAACCATCTACACAATGTGTAAAGAGGAGCAGTACGATATCAACATGCTTATGGACCCAGTGGATGGTATGACATTTGAGATGTGGACCTTCTATGAGATGCCTCCAAGTATGCTCTCGCATCTCCAACGCAAGGCTCACGATTGGATGAAGGATTACACTGGCCTGTCAGAAAAAGACGTACAGCATAGTTAGTGGCTGTTGAATAAACAGCGTGAGCAAGAAAGCAGTCCTGTAGTGGAGGAGCAGATGCTGTTGGGAGAAATTAGCAGAAATTGAATGTCTTGTCATCTGTTGAAGTCGTGTCTTAAGCAAAGCTCGTAGGCACTATTCGATTGGTTCTCGGGGATGAGCAGAGGTACAGAAAGCCGTCAGGGGTTGATTATCACTGAGCGAAGCTCGGAGCGACAGAGGTTTGACCGTGATAAACCACTGTGATAATCAGGGGGTAGTCGTCTAGTCAAAGACCGTGACGACTGGTTGCAATGAGTAGTACAGAGTATACTGTCTGGCTTGAGAGCAGGTGAGATTCCAATAACAAAGTTAATTGACAAGGTTGAACACGATGCCATAAGGGCAGCGTGTCTACGTGCTATATACTTGGACAGTCATTCGTAGTCCACAGTGCTTCACAGTCTCATGGGACACTGCAGGTCTGTATTGTAGTTTCCATGAGACACTGCGGGTCCGTATTGTGGATCTCCTGAGACACTGCGAGTCTATATTGTAGACACTGCGGGTCCGTATTGTGGATCTCCTGAGACACTGCGGATCCATATCGTGAGACACTGCAGGTCTGTATGGTTCCATCGTATATGATAATATACAGGCAAAACCTGACGATTCCCTTCTTTGCAGTACGTGCTCATAACACGTAATATCATCTCAACTGTCCACGGGTGAGAGAAACTACGCATCATTAACACCTACATACCCACACTTCCTGTACCAGCTTCTGCAGTCAACTCTGTAGCAACTATTAAGTACAGCGAGCTCCATAAAGAAGCGAAAGTCAAGCCACTTGTCCTGCTGTTGATAGTGCCGCTTCATCCAACTTTTCAGCACCTTAAAGGTCTTCTCGATGGGATTGTAGTCAGGTGAGTATGGCGGGAGGTACTCTAGTTGTATGCTGAAGTCTCTGCAAAGCTGTACAATTGCCGGCGATCGATGGATAGACGCATTATCCATGAGCAGTACATGGTACCCAGCTGTGAGGTGCGGCAGCACATCTTCTCGCAAGAACTCCTCCATTAACTCAGCAGTAATTGCGCCTTGAAAGATGCGGTGCGTAAGGTAACCATCCACTGTCATCGCTGGCAGCAAACTCCATCGCTCTGACCGTTTTATAGAGTAACTCAGCGACACTGATTGACCAACTGGACCCCAGCCATACTTGCGATCGCCAGTACGCTCGTTGCAAGCACTCTCATCTACTGCAACAATCTGCTCTGCTGTGTAGTTCTGCTGGCAGCGTGCTTGGAAGACTCTCCGCAAAGCGTCAGACTGCTCAAATGCCTTCTTTGATGCAATCTTGCGACTCCATTTCATCCGCTTCAGCTCCCGCAACACCAAAGTAAGGCTCGCTTCAACACCAAACTCCTCTAGCAACCAGTCTTTTATCTCCTCCAAGTACGCGTGCGGACGGCCAGCCAAGTACTTGCGGAGTCGAGTCCTGTGTTGTTCTTGCAGCGTCCTTGGCCGCCCAGTCTTTACAAGAGCTGGTGCGTATGGCTGACCCCAGTATGCTAGATTTAGTCGCTTCGATGCTGTACAACGACGCGTTACTCCAGTATGTGTATATATTTGGGCGTTGCTGACTCCAGCAGCGATTCGATCAAGTACGGCTTGTAAAACAGAGGGCTCCAAGTGCGAGCGACCGGGGTGGCGGGTTGTCATTGTAACAACTACAACACAAGATAATTGCAATAGCCCAATTACGAGTAAATCAACAGCTTCAAGAAACGATGTACTGCGCAGTTGTTCTTAATTCTTAATTATTGACGTTTGCTATATAAAACTGTCCGTGCGCGGGAACACCCCGCAAGTCACGGGGTGTACCCAGCGTTTTGCAAATAATAATATGCAACTATACTTCACAACACCACAACTCAATGCCACGATGACGCTAGAGGAAGCAATCAAAGAGATAGAAGCTATGATGCCATACGAAAATATCCCTTGGATACAATTATCCATAAAGCATGGTGTTGTGCGTTCTACATTGACGCGCAAGTACCGTGCACAGACACCGAACGCCCGGAGACACCGAACGCCCGCTCAGGGCCTGAACGCCCACCACAAATATGAGGCTATAGAGCCACATACAATAGTTATTATCGTGAGATATTTTGTAGTAATAGACTATAGACCTATAGAACGAAGTTTCCCCATACAAATTAATTATATAGAGTGGCAATGCGGCTGCTGCAGGTAGTGTGAGTGCAAGCTGGCAGAGGAGGTGTTGCAGGCTTTGGATGACTACGAGCACCAACACCACAATACGCAGGCTTCTTTTTGACTGCAGAAGCTTTAGAGATTATGCGGTTGCCTCTTTGGGACAGTTGTATAGCTTTTTCAGTGTTGTGAGCCTGCTTTTGACGCTCTCTTTCCACCTTGCGTTCTTGTAACAATGCAGAGCCCCATTGCGCCAAATGGCCAAAAGTACATCAATATCAGCAGAACTGCTGATATTGGGCTCTGAATCTAATATATAGGCATAGCACAAGGCAACTCCTTACAGTTCTGTTGCTTCTTCTGCCTTCTTGGCCTTGACCCAGTCTTGCTCTTCCTTCTCCCTTGCTTGGGCCACACGCTTTTCTTCTGCTACTTCGGCCTTGTAGAGCTTAGTAGCTGCTGCTAACTCCTTCATCTCAGCCTTTTGTAGCTCATCAGCTTGCTTCTCTTATTCTGCAACAGCCATGTGGGCGGGTGCCTCACGGAAGGCTTGAGGAGACCACGTCATCGCTCCACCGTGATACTCCTGATGCTGTTGCAAGTCCAATTGCCTAGTAGGTTGCTTCTGACGCTTCTTCTTCTGGTATAGCTTCTTGCGCAAACCTTCCAGCTCGGCGTTGGCGATCTCAAGTTGAGTTGAGAGGTGGTGGATAGTTTGACCCAGCTTCCGTGCACCTACACTGCGCGGATTCTTTACCTCTGCATGCAGGGTAGTGCAAGCCCTAAGCCAATCCTCTGCAGAATAAGCTGCAGAACCAGAGGAGACTGATTTTGAGTCCTCAGGGGTTGCTGTGAGAGGGGGCCAGGTGGGGATACCAACTGCTCTCTGAGATGGAAGGATTGGTGGAAGGATGGTTCAGGCTTGTTGGAGATAAGGGTGTAGAGGAGACCAAGTGTGGGGATACCACAAGTGGTAAAAAGGATAAGTGATAAAGAAGGGATCAAGTGTGGGAATACCACAAAGGATCAGTGAGGAGTGAGTTGAG